TAGGGTTTAGGGTTTAGGGTTTAGGGTTTAGGGTTTAGGGTTTAGGGTTTAGGGCTTCGGGTGTAGGGGTTTGGGGTTTAGGGTTCAAGGTTTAGGGTTTGGGGGTTTAGGGCTCGGGGTTCAGACTTATTGAATTGGGGTGTTGCTACGCCGTGAAAGGGATTTGTGCTTCACAGGGTATTATACGGATCTGCGAGGTTTCGAAGGACTTCCTACGGCCTCACGTGGTTTTGTTGGTCTTGTCAGGGTGTTCCGGGGCGTCATACAGTTTGATGAAGTCCCTTTGGATTATTTAATATCTATAGTAACCTTGCTTCAGTTCCTCAAAAAACCTTTTGTTCCCTAGGGTGTGGAACCCGGAACCCGCCAGGGAGACCGAAAAAGGCAACCCTGAACCCCTTGAACCTTAAACCGTAAGCCCTAAACCCCTACTGCTTTTGGGGGTTTAGGGTTTAGGGTAACCCTAAACCCTAAACACTAAACCCTAAACCATGAACCCTAAATCCGAACCCGAAGCAGCGAGAAGCCAGCCTCAGAGACAGAAGTGGCGGCGTCCTCCAAGCAACCTCTCAAGATATGAAACTGGAGCTTCGAACATACGGCTCATGGACAAACTCCGGCATTTCGGGTTTAAGGTTTAGGGTTCAAGGCTTAGGGTTTTGAGTTTAGGGTTTTTCGGGTTTCAATCAATACCTCAAGTACCTTAAACTATAGGAACCGAGCGAGATACCTTATTGTGGGCCTTATGGGCAGGGCCCTGTTTGTAGGTTGACAAACAGCTTCCGGGGTGTTCTGGTGCTGTACTGGGCTCAAGGCTTTGCAAGTTCGGACGCTAGGTTCCGGGTGTTGGGGGTTTCTTGCTAGGGCGATTGGGCTCTGCCAGCTTGAAGCTTTGTTTTTCACACCTTTTTCCTACTGCATGAGTTCGAAAGCCCGGCTTGAAGTTTGAGGCTCAGGGTTTCTGAGTGAAGATTTAGACATGACGCGTGGGCCCTCAACCGTTGGGCACCCCTGCTTCGGAACGAAACACGCTACCAAAGCAGTCACGAACTCCGCAACTTAAGCCTTAGTTTCGGGCCGAAACCTGCGGAATGAAGTCAGCTTTGAAAGCCGTCGACGGAGGGCAGTGCACAACGGATTATATTAGGGTTTAGGGTTTAGGGTTCATGGTTTCGGGTTTAGGCTTTAGGGTTTAGGGTTCTGGGTTCAGGGTTTAGGGTCTATGGTTCAGGGTTCAGGGTTTAGGGATATTTTTTTAGGGCGGCCCTGCGCGCTC